TTTTAATTATATTTTTAATTAATTATTATAAAAAATAAAAATTAACTTTAATTTTATTATTTATTTAATTAAAATTATATATATGTTATTAGTGTTAAATAAAATTAATTTTTATATTTTTATATAAATTATAATAAATATACATCTATATCTAATTCATATATCTTAACTTATGGTTAGAGAAAACTTAATTTTTTTAAAGATAGATTGCACTTAAAATTCAAGAAAAATATAAAAATACCATTAATGATGTTCATCAATCCCTCCCCCTATTACGTTTTATTCTTCAGGTAGACAAAAGAAAACTTTTCTATAATTATAATTTTTTTCAAAAGAAACAATTAATTCTTATTTTTTTACTAAATAAAACCGCTTACTCATAATCAGAAAATTGGAAGACCATAAGAAGAGCAACAAAAGAAAAAAAGAAAAAAATAGATTTCTAGATGTTTAATGTAATTGAAAAGCAAAGATGGAAGATTCTAGGAACATTGGAATTACAGAAAGTACACTACATCTTGGTGAGGTCAGGAGCTGGGCTCCTATGAAGCAGCAACGGCTTCAGTTTTCTTTCCTTCGGCTTCCTTCAGTTTCTTCCAGTTCTCTTCACTGTCAATAATTTCCCCTGTCTTTATGAGGAAACGGACTCTTTTTCCATTGTCTAGCACTTTGTGACCCACACGGCTTGCTACCTTTTGATCTTTGGAATAAAGCATCACATTCGAGCTATGAATAGGTGCTTCAATCTGGAACATGAGATTTAAAGCTTTAGAACTAGTAAATGGAAAAGTGCTGTGAGACTGTAACCCCAAAGTAACGTGACCAAAATAAATGCTGACAAGGAAATGAACAAACAATGTCACAGTATTTGCATTCTCATTAAAAAAATTACCAAGCTTTCTAGGAATCATATCCATACTACTTGAAATAAAGAATGTATAAATCAGCATGCAAGATAGATCCATAACATGCATCCTAATATCATGTTGAAAATGGCATGAGCACCTTTCCACTCCTATATAATGTAGCAGCATAAGAATATTTTCTTTAAGACCGATTATGGAGTAAACGGTAACATACCTTAATTATCTGCCCTGGTTCACCCTCTTCTCTGCTCTTCTGATGCTTTGTCTTCAGGTTTATATCTTTAACAATCACACTACTGTTGTGCCTAAAGATCTGTGTGATCTCTCCAATTTTACCCTTATCACTCCCAGATATTACTTGAACTGTATCTCCTACCTTAACATGCATTTTATGTAAAACTGGAAGGCTGTTTGGCTTACATTCCTTCCGCTCCCATCTTTTAATCTGCAACAGGAACATGCTAAATACCATGAAACAGCATCCATGTATCCCACGGTAAACAACCAGTCATAAGAAGCTCACAAGTCATAGCGTATGGTGCTTAATTCTAATAAATCGTGCACATTTGTTATGCTACTCATTTTGATCATTTGTATTTACAGAGAAAATGACTCCAGGCAAACATATCTCTTCCATTCACCTATAGGAAAACCCAAATACTCTCTCCCAGGCCAATTCCACAATGAGTGAGAGAGTTAAGGAGGCAGGTAAACTGGTCGTAACTACCTAAAATTTACAAGGGACGGAACAAATTAAGAAGATTCTGGAACATCTTGCTTTGCCATCAAAACGCTAGCACAAGCATTCCACTCTCACAAAATTTTTGGAACTTAATTAAAATGAGAAACATATGCAATATGGTGTGTGAAAAAAGGAACAACAAATACACACCCGCATTACAATGAGGCATGGATTATCTCTTGACTTGACCTGCGTGCAAAAAGAACAGTTAGATTAGTGCTTAAAAATGGATTGATAAGTACTATCTCCTCATTAATCATTAATATGGATCCAAGAACTAAATCTAATTTAACATCAATGGCATGGAAATGAAGAACCATCACAATATCAATCAGGCAATGATATAGTTACAATAAGATTGTAATTTTACAATCATGATATATTAATAAATAAGTGGATGCATACAATATTTTGGTGGACTGTACATGAAAGAAGTCAATCACATGTAAGTATATCATTTTCGATATCAAAATATTAGAGTCTAGACAAGTACTCCAAAGTTCAGAAAAACAAGTCTGAACATATTGTTACCATATCAATTCAATAAGATCAGCTCAAAATTTTCAATAAATTTCACAGCGATGGAAAAGGAAAGAAAAGAAAATTGCTTCATTTAGTGACACCCATTACATATAATCTTTCATCAAGCCAAACATGATTTCACTTTGTATGACACCCATTACGCAAGAATCATTTCGATACAGCCTAGGAATAATCAGAAACAAGACCTAATTGAGACCTAAATATGAACGTGAAAAGAAGTAACAGAAATACAAGGGAAGAGAGACGAAAACTTACAGGAAGAGGTAAGACAGGGGTCGGAGAGAGCCGTTGGCCGAAGAAGGAGCTTGAGGAGAGAGAAAGAGTGCTCATTGAGCTCTGAAGTGCAGCCATAACTGCCATTTCCGCTTCTTCAACAGCACCGCAGGAGTGATTCAGAGTTTCAGGCTGCAGCCTATCTAGATAACGAGGGACACCGTATGAAACGATGCGTTTCGTTTCATAAATTCTAAGCGTAGCCGCTTTTTTCTTTTAATAATGTGGGCTCTTAATATTAGGTTTAGTAGAATAATATTTATCGGTGTTTTAATTTTTAATTTATATATTTGTTTATTATTTCAAAAATATAAAAAAATATTAAATAAAATAAATATTAAATATATTTTATATATTTTTAAAATATTAAAAGATAAAAAAAAACCAACCATTATAATTCTAAATCAAGATTTTTAAACTTATTTTGTTTTAGAAAAATTGGCCAGACATCATTTGGTTTTTTTCCGAAACATATATGCATCTCATTTTACGAAATTGTTTCTTGGAATTTAAGAGTATATTTTTCAATTTTTTTTTACCAAAAGTTTAGCTCATTTTTCATTTGTGAACGAATAATTTACAAAATCAGGATGATGCCATTTCAGAAAAACAAAGAAGAAAAACAAACCCAAAATAAAAAAAGAGGGCCAAATTATGATACAGGAAATTACAAACAATCCTTCAACAAAACTACAGAAAAATCAGCTTGCCTCCTACCTTCTTTAAACCTGCATGTATATTATATAGAAACCAGAACCAAAAGCAAGGTATTTTTGAAATAAACAAAAATGGGAAAACCATTCATCAAAGATCAGTGTCAGCTGTGCTGTCCATGGACTCGTCTCTCCGGTGTACAGAGATGGGAATCTTGGTTTCTGGTTGGTCCACATCGATTGAAACTTCATCTGCCGTGGCAGATGGAGTCTTGCTATGCTTCCTGACGTGCCTCAATTTGAGGATCCGTGTAAGCACTTGCACAATATCCCTCATGGAAGGCCGTTTTCTTGGAGCACGGTTGACACATCTGTATGCAAGAGCTGCCACTTCGTTGAGCTCTTGCACATCAAATCTTCCATCTAAGCGGGAATCAACAATTTCCTCCCACCCGACTTCCCCTTCGGTACTCATCGCAGCCTATTTATCACATCACAAAATTATGTCACCTTTGGAAACAAGGGACATGTAACTTTGAGATTTAAAATCGTACAGAAAGACCATACCAGCTCAACATATTCCATGAGACCCTGCATAGGATTTCTGCCAGCTACAAGTTCAAAGAGCAACACTCCAAAGCTATATACATCACTTTTCTTATCGAAGGTCCTTGTAGAGATGTATTCTGGATCAAGGTATCCAAAAGTTCCTCGTATATTTGCTGCATGTTTGTCTACCATCTCTTCTCTTGAAAGTCCAAAATCAGCTACCTGATTAGAAGCAAGCAGTATACGAGTAAATTACAGCAAATAGATACAATTCTACTCTTATACACGAGGAACAATTGAGAAAAATTTCAAGATCAAAAAGTGC